CCCAGTGACTTTACTGGGTGGACCCGCCCCGTGACCCGCACGGGTCCAAACTTGTTGACACATGACCCGCCCCATGCGGCCGCCCCATGCTGAGCGAATCCGCTCTGCCCCGCCCCGTCGTTACCAAATTAGTTAGCATATTTTTCTATTTGCGTGAAGTCCTTATCACTTGAATTTAGATAAAGTTAATCTCTAGATAATTATAAAAAATTAATATAATAAATCAAAATCACAATACGTAAAAAAATTCAAAAATTAAACAAAAGTACTTAGAATTGAATAATTAATCAATTTATATTAATAATTGAACACATAAAATGCTATATTAAAACAGACGTTGACAATTCAATATTCATCTCATTCAAATATAAATATTAATACTCCCTCCAGTTTTTAATAAACTTCACACTTTCCTTTTTGGGACGGTCTAAAATAAACTTCACACTTCATTATTTCCTTTTTTGACAAATAAATCTACATCAAAACAGTGTCAAACAGTGCCAAACAGTGTCTCAACAGTTCCAAATAGTGTCTCAACAGTGCCAAACAGTGTCAAACAGTGCCTCAACAGTGTACTCTACAGTAAAGTCAAATTTCTTTCCTTATTTTGTGTGAAGTCAAAGTGTGAAGATTAAATAAAACCGGAGGGAGTATATAATAAGATCAAAGAATTTATGATTTATTGTACACACATTTTTATGCATATCACTACGTGAATGCTGGAGAATTAATAAGGACAGCTATAAGGGAATTGCCGTTATAATATGATCTCCTCATTCATCCCTTATTACAAAGGAGGAAGACAATTTGACTAAAGGACCCAATGAGGGATTAATAAGGGCATCTTTTTTTTACTGGCACATGCTTACATGGCAAAAAGTTTATAACGAAATAATAAGATAAGATCCGTCATAAGAACTGATGCATCATTTGTTTAATATATGCATATATGCATATTTGTAGTATAATGTTTTTAAAGGGAAAAGGGTCAAATAGACCCTAGCTCAAACGTACATAAAAAGGTCAAATAAACCCTTATATAGGAGGCTCTATTCGACCGTCGCCATTTGGGGCAGTTCCCGGTGGATTTTTTTGATGATTTTTTTAGTATCTTATTCGTTAAGTCTAGTTTACTCATACCAAATTTCAGCTAAAACTTTAATCGGGAAGGCATTCAATGAATTCTTGAAGATAATTGCCAGCTATCCGTACCCGCCCCATTGTATAGGCGGGGCAGGGCGGACCCGCCCCATTTGTAAGACATGCTGGGTCGGACCTGCTCTAAATGTCTCGGGTCGGGGGGTCCTTGCGGACCTTTTTTTTTTACATGCCTAATTTGGCGATTGCTAAGGCTTGTCCTCCGGTACTTCAAGTTGAAAATCCATCAAATTCTTCAAGGAGGGCGTGGATTAATATGAGTCGAGTACTCGAGTCGGGTCCAATGTTGGTCTGTTTAGTTTATGTTCAAAGTAGAGAATATTAAACCGAACTCGGTTACATGTTTCAGATTCTGGTCATGTAAATCTATCAGTTTAATTTTGAGTCGATTTTCTGACTATTTGGACAAAATCCGTAACAACTGAAATCAATTGAATTTTCAACGCTACCCAGTTTAATGTTGTACGGATAGTGTTTGTCACGGACAAGTCGGTGACAAAATCCGTGACAATTTTTTATATATATGCAACCACAGATTCATTCAACAGATTCATATCAATTCAAACTGAATCACAATATAATACAGTATTTGTTGAAAGATTGAAGGATGTAATCTATCTTATGTCATCTTCCTTGTTTATGCAGATAAGGTATGTCATTCGAATTATGTATTTTTTTAAGAATTAATGGTTTCGTTTTAAATAATTACAATTATTAGATTAGTGATGTCATAAAATTAGTTATATTTTTAGGTTTATAAAATAATTTAGTTAAAATTAGTTAGTAAACTTAGGTTTAATCGTAGTGATGCATTAAGTTAAAATGAGCTAAATTAGTTAAATTTTTGATAATATTAGTTAAATTTAAATATTAGTTAATGAAAATGGGTTTAAAAAAAGGATGTTACTTAATTAACAATATATGTAACTATAAACGTAGTGTTGTCATAAAACTAGTTAAATTTGTAGGTTTATAAAATAATTTTTTTAAAATTAGTTAAACGTATCTTTAAACGTAGTGTTAAGTTGTATTTAGTTAAAATTAGGTAAATTAGTTAAATTGAAATATTAGTTAATTCAAATGTCTAATTTAGGATTTATAATGATTTAAGTTAGGATTGAAACATTACTTTAGTGTGAATTATTATTGTGAATTGTTTGAATTTCATTTAATTTAGTGAATCGTTTATTGTGTATTATTAGATTCTCATAATTTCAGTGTTGTGAATTAATGCTATTAACATACGTATTGTTTCTAGTTAATTAATAATATTAATTGAACGTTAGTTAATTTTAGTGAAATGTAATATATTAATGTTCCTAAATATAGTGAATTAGTGAATAATTTTAATGATTAATGTCATTAAATTACCGTATTGCTTTTAGTTAATTAATAATATTAATTGAACGTTAGTTAATTTTATTGAACTTTAGTGAAATGTAATATATTAATGTTCCTAAGTATTAATTAGTGAATATATTAAACATAACAAAGTATTGTTAATGTTTATGATTTATAGTTTTTAACCAATATAATTTGTTGATTATAATATTCAGGCATAATGTATAGACAAAATAGAAGTTGGATGTATGATAAACATGAGGAATTGTACGGAATGAAAGCAAATTTTCTTGATGGAATTAGGGAGTTTGTTACATTTGCACCTGAACACCCGAATTATATGGATGGTGATAAAATCAAATGTTCATGTACAAAGTGTAAAAATCTCAAATTTAATGACACCGACGTGGTTGTGTGGCATTTGTACGAACAAGGTATCGTTGCTAATTATTATAATTGGACTTCTCATGACGAACCTTTCGATCAATCACTTTTACCACAAACAGTAGGTCCGTCTTGAACATCCCTAACAAGATGAGTGAGTGGGGAAACTATGCTCAAATGAACTGGGACCAAAGAATAGTGTATGATGCATATGGTGCCTCAACGTCTTAGTTAAACCCCCCACAACCATTTAATGATCCTCCTGAAGCCTTGACCTCCTATCAACCAGATGCGGATGAAAATCCGATCTTTTATCAACCTGATGTGGATGAAGGTTTAACTGAGAGATTTCAAGATGTTTTAAAAGTTGCCGATCAACCTTTGTATGCTTATTGTGAGGGATACTCTCAGCTATCCGAAGTTTTCGGATTTGATGAACTTTAAAGCTGAATACAGTCTACGTGAAACTTGCATGTCTAGGCTATTAGAGTCAATAGGAGGAATGCTACCGCGTGACCATAACTTTCCTGATTCATATTACAACATGAAGCATTTAATATCTCATTTGGGGCTTTCTTATATAGAAATTGATGCCTGCCCAAAATGATGTATGTTGTTCTCGAAGGATGATGAGACACTTGAGAGATGCAAGTTCTGTGGTGGAGACAGATACAAACATGTTCCTCAAAGAAAAAAAACCACGAACTAGATCTGCATTGTCTAAATTGTTTTACCTCCCACTAGCTCCACGACTAAAGATGACATATTGAGCATGAAACCAAAGAGGGTTTGATGTCTCACATTTTAGACTGTGCAACTTGGAGACACTTTGACCGTTGTCATCCTCAGTTTGCAATGGAGCCACAGAATGTGCAACTTGGGATTGTGTTCAGACGGATTTGCTCCTTTTGGAAGGTTTGGGAAGAAATATTTATGTTGGCCAGTCATGTAAACTCTTTATAATCTCCCTCCCGACATGTGCATGGAAAGTCATTTCATCTTTTTAACTTTAATTTGTCCGGGTCCCAAAGATCCTGGAAAAAGGATAGACATTTATCTCCAACCCCTTATCGAGAAGATGAAAGAACTTTGGGATGTTGGGACACGAACTTATGATGTTTCAAGAGATCAAATGTTTATCATGAAAGCTGCCATTATTTGGACCATTAGCGGCTTCCCTGCCTATGGTATTCTTTCAGGATGGAGCACACACGGTCTTATGGGATGTCCAATATGTATGGAGAAATCAGGTACCAATTGGCTCAGTTTCAGTTCCAAACCAAGTTACTTTAATTGTCATTGGAAGTTTCTTCCGGCACACCATCGATATCGAAGGGAAAAAAGTCCTTCATTAGAGATAGAGTGATACGAGACCCCCCACCACCACCGAGACCGATAGGCGAACAAATGTTTTACTGGGTTCAATTCGACGTATTCCTACGGTTGTATAAGAACCAAATGAGGAGCCATATGGGTATTGTGATACCCATAAGTGGACAAAAATGAGTATATTTTGGGAGTTGCCATATATATTGGAAAGACCTTCTCATTCATCACAATTTAGATGTCATGCACATTGAGAAAAACGTGTTTGACAATATATTTAATACAGTGATGGATTTCAAAAGTAAAACTAAAGACGGTCTTGCATTTAGAAAAGACATGACAATGTGGTGTGATAGAGTATCAAGAAATGGAATGCTTCTTCTTATCTAACTCTAATTTTAGATGATATTAAAGCTCTTCCTGAAAGTTGCAACAAAAGTTATCGGCACCTGTGATTCTAGTTATATTTAATTACATATAAATAAAAGTTATAAAAATTTAATATTTTGGAAGTTCAAATTAAGAGAATTTTAATGATATTTTATACATACAATTTGATAACGTATATTAGTGCAAAATTCAAAGTATTGAAACTATTAAAGAACGAGAGAAGTATGAGAAACAGATAAAATACTCCGTAGTATTGTTCAGAAATTTTGACCAATTCGAAAAGTAACCCAAATCTTATTTATTTTCTACTAAATTCCAAAAGTAAGTCTAGAATTGATTCATAATTTTGATAAATTAAAAATATAAGTTCCCAAAAATGTGTTGCATTTTAGGCAAGTTAAACGTGTGTTCAAAATTAGAAAATACGGAGTAAAATGCAATTTGGTCGACAAATGTAAAATGGAAGAGAGTATTTCTTTATTTATTCTTTGAACAATGATGATGCAACAACATCTTGTCTGCAAGGCAGTTGTTCCCCGGCACGGCCACTCGCTCGCCAACCTACCCACCGATTCCGTGCTGGTCTGCTAGGGTTTGGCCCGGATTCTCGATTAGGGTTTCTACCTCAAGTTCAAGAAAATGGAGAGCTTCAACCATCTAGGACAACAAGAGGCTGATGGGCACAGAAACGGCACCGGTAGCTTCTTATACTCCGGCTCCGTTCTCTCCGCACCGCCGAGTTACGACAGAACCACCACACCCGCCGCCGCCGGAAACTTCCACCTGCAGCCTTACGATCATCCCGTAGTGAAGACGGAAGGGGGAGTCACCACTTCCAATCACACCCAAAGCTTTGAAGGTGAGGATGAAGCTATAAAGGCAAAGATCATTTCCCATCCTCGGTATTCCAATCTCGTGGAAGCTTACATGGACTGTCAAAAAGTTGGTGCTCCGCCGGAGGTGGCGGCGCGTCTCGGGGAGGTCCGGCAAGAGTTCGAGTCCCAGCAGCGAGATTCAATACTTGGTGGCAGAGATATATCATCTAAGGACCCAGAACTCGACCAGTTCATGGTACAACTAAAAGTTCTCAATTGAAGATATGTTATTTTTTATATAATAAATACGTTAAGATGAATTAATAAATTAAAGATTTGTGGGAAATAATTTATGGGTTTCTTTGGAATAAAAAAATGGTCCAGGAAGCATACTATGATATGTTAGTGAAGTATAGAGAAGAGCTGACGAGGCCTTTACAAGAAGCAATGGAGTTCTTGCGGCGGATCGAATCGCAGCTAAATATGCTAAGCAATGGTCCTGTTCGGGTCTTCAATAGTTCTGGTACTTGCTTTCTTCTTTCAGCAACTTTTCTTTTTCATTTCTTGAAGAATTGAAGTTCTTTTTGATTATTTTTTTGCCTAAATACGGAATATATTTTAGAACATCGAAGAAAATATTTCCCATTTTTTTATTCATATTTCGGGAGAAACGTATTCTAACCGCTTGTTTGATAACATTGAAATTGGTATTGAAATTCATGGAATTCTGGCTGAAATATGAAAAATTTATATTTGGAATATTTTTTATTAATAAAGTAGAGAAAAATTATATAAACCATATTGAAATGATCTTTTATGATTAATTCAACCAATACAATCAGAAAAATAACTCCTTTACTTTTCTTATTACTCCGTATTATATTACCCAATTTGATCTGCGAAATTAAAAAATATGTATTTAAAAACTACTACCTCCGATTTTTTTTAATTTTCACAGTTTGACTTCACACAAAATAAGGTAAGAAATTTGACTTTATTATAGAGTACACTGTTGAGGCACTGTTTGACACTGTTTGGCACTGTAGAGACACTGTTTGGCACTGTTTGGCACTGTAGAGACACTGTTTGGCACTGTTGAGACACTATTTGGCACCGTTTGACACTGTTTTGATGTAGATTTCTTTGCCAAAAAAGGAAATAAGGAAGTGTGAAGTTTATTTTAGACCGCCCCAAAAATGAAAGTGTGAAGTTTATTAAAAACCGGAGGGAGTATGTGTTTAGAGAAAAAAATTGATTGATAATCCTTATAAGTCAAAAAAACAAGATAGCCAAACAATACTTAATTTATAAAAAAAATGGTAACTATTTCCCATTGTATTATTTTGTGGTGCACAAAATAATACTTTCTTCGTATTGTTTTCTAAAAAAAGTGTTCTACAGAATTTTGTTGTCGTATTAAACACTTTCCAGAATAAAAGTTACTGCATATCTGAAACACAGAATCTATCTAAATAAATAAAATAAAAGTGCTTTTGTTTGTTTGTTTTGGAATTTGGGTAAAAATTTAGGAAGATTGAGTAAATAGGAGGTACTCTAGTTCATTATAGTAATTTCCAAGGAAGGAAACAAAACAAATTGGTGCAAGTATTGATAGGGGCAGAGGTTACTCCAAAAATTCAGCTGCCTTCGTTCTCGAGCAGTGCAACAACTGTTGGTTCATTCAATACTTTTCAATTCCCAATGTTTTTTCTTCTTGCCCATTCCCATATGTCCATATTCTTGGTTTTCCTTTTTTTTAAGGTCTTGTACGAAGTCATAATAAAAACATAATACTAGTACTCCATAATACGGATTATATTGCCCGTGTAATAAAAACATAATACTAGTACTCCACAGTAATTATTAAAGATAATTGTTGGTGTACACAAGATGTACACAAAATGTGTACATTGTCCGTGTACCCAGACAATTTGATATCCAGTCATACCTCATTTTAAATGAATTTCCTATGTACATTGACAAATAGGGGGGTTTTGTGTACAATTTGTGTACAATTCATGTACATTAACAATTTTTCAATTATTAATTACATTTTGACATTAATACGGAGTAAATCTTAGTTAAATGTTATCATTATTTTTTGCTTTATCAAGCACATTCACTGGTAGGGTTGACGCACGGTTTTTGGTTTGCTACTCACATTATGACATAATCACATTCGTTTGCCGGAGGGTAAAGATCCAAACAATCCAATAATCGTGTGGGTTGGGTTTGTTTGAGTCGTTTCAGATGAGTACTATTTCACACAATGTTTTTTTTGATAGTCAATTTTACACACAATTGAAACAGTTAAAGTAAATACTACGTACTACCTCCGTTCCCCTAAATTTGGGACAAGAGAAAGTGGCACGGTTATTAATAAAAGTTGGTTTATGTGGTTGATATTGAATTGATAAAGTAAGAATGCATTAGAACCACACAAATTTTACCAAATAGGCTATGAGACAATCTTAGTGGGACGGACCGAAAAGGTAAAATGGGACAATCATAGCGGGACAGAGGGAGTAGTTAGTAAGATGAATCTATGAAAGATAAAATATATCATACACCATCCATCCCATTTTTATTCCTTATAAAAAGTCACATTTTATTTGGAGATAAATATAAATCCAAATTATCTCAAGATTATTGTGAATACACGAACAACAAAAGATATGATTACTTTAAAATATAATGATGAATGATGTGATTTAGAAGATATGAGATTATTTTGAAAAAATATAACGTGTTATAATTTTATTTATTTATTTAAGTTGCACTAATGTGGATGCTATTGTGATCATATCATGCAAATCAAGTATACTAATTAATACCTGAAAAAATTTCGACTAAAATAAGTGTCGTTTACAATGATAAGGTAATATTTAAATATCTTAAATATACATATTACGGAGTATATTAGTAACTTTATTCGTCATAACTTATGTTCAATTGTTATACATACCATACTCACAATAACTCAAAATTCGTATCAGTAATATTTTGAAAAAAATAATCTTAATATCCCATATTCTTAATTATTTAACGAACTTGAAAGAATTGGGAGCATTTTTGGTGCAGACCCTAACCCTAATCACGAGTCATCTGCATAATATGCGGTTCGAACGGATCCATTAAAGCTAGGAACTCTCATGATTGGTTAATCCTTTTTTTTTGGAACCAAGACTAGCAACTTTATTAATTCAAAAGATCATTCGCCAACTGGCTTACAACACAGTCCGGGATAATATCATAACTACATCTATGATCTGAGATGGATACGTGCGCTCTAGCAAGCTTATGAGCTACACGATTCACAGATCGTGAACAAAAAGAGATAGAGAAATTACTCTTTGTAACAAGTATGGATTGAATATCATCAATAATCAAGTCCAAATAAGCCAAACCACCGCTGATTGGGCAATTTTTGGGGTGTCTGAGCTTCGCTTAATCGCCTGCGAAGAATCACTCTATATATCCTGGTCTCGTAGCTATTGGGCGTGTTCGAAATTTAATTAATGGTTAGCAGGTTGTGGATAACAAGTAGATAACATAGTAATAGTATGTTTGTAGGTTCTTCATAGTGGATTTGATTCACACAATAAATTGGTGGGTTATGAAAGAATGTTCGTTGATTTAGTTGTTTGACGTAGCAATTAGTAAGAAATGACGTAACAAAACGTCAACTCAAAACGCTGTTATTAGTTGTGGTCCCATTTCAACGATTCCGTTCAAAAATACTAGAGTCAAGAAGTTATTTACCGAACGACGATTTCGCTTTCCTAATTAGAATGGGTCAAATCATTATTATTTGGTTGAAAGTGCATATTCCACCCCATTTTATGAAGTGTAGAAAATGTAGAATGATTATTTGCAAAAATGTGACTTTTTAATTAGTGATTATACAATCGTAATAATTTATGCTATATTTTTACACTTAAATGACCATCATATTATTCTAGATTTTCTATAAATACATTTTATTTTAGTATTTCTTTTAAAAGACCACGTAATGAAATACTTGATTCTTTTGACACTTTTCCCATTTTTGGAGATTTTTAATTTTCATTTATTTGTCCTTTTTTCGAAATTATAAATTTCTACCACACCTTTATTTTTATTTACGGAGTATTACTATTTTTATTTCTTACTCTTATCACTTTTGTCTTATTTTCTATTTCTTCTCGTCTTCTAATTCCCTTTCTTACTTTCCCAATTTTTCTCACATTTGTTTCTCAGTATTATCATCCACTATTGATATATCTAAATCACACCTTGTGTTTCGTACACACATCTTTAGTTATGTGTTTAAAAATGTGTGCATAGCTTAAAACCTTTTATCTTAAATTCTTAATCTCCTCCATTAATATGCCAAGTATCCGTATAAAAGAAGGGAATAACTTTACTCCTATTTTACCCACGCCATTCAATAAAAACTTTATTTTACATCATATCATGACAAGAAATTACAATCTGATTACACATCTTTTTTTTACAAAACTGATGACGTCAATCTTGTCTGAGAATATAAGATGTATCAGTCGACAGTCGTCAAATACTTACCCGCAGTTATCGCAACGCGTAATCGTTTTTTAGGACTAATTATTGCTCCACGCAGTTTGAAAAAATACGTAGGACTACTGCAGAATTAAGAGTAACAAAAAAGATGATTCGATTTCTATTGGTGCAAATTAAGAATGGAAAACTAAAATGCCAATGTGATTGGATGGTATCAGGGTGACACCTAAGGAGGAAATTGCAAGATCAAAATTAATCTCAATGTTAAATGTTGACATTTAGCATTAAATGTAATAGACTAGAAAATCTACCCAAAAAAGAATGGAGAACTAATATCAATCACATATTCATTATCTTAGATGCAAATGACAAAACTTTTTGGAACATCAAAATAACAAATTTTATGAGATAGATGAAGTATTGTGTACTTGGTAATTTGGTATACATATGAATATATGATGGTATTACTTTAAAATGAGTTTGTTATGATTTTATACGCTTCTACACGATTTTGTACGATTTACTTGCGATTTGAATCAATTTATTAATGTAGAATCGTAAAACAATGCAATTTTCCTATCTCGATTGAAATTTTAGCAAGATAATCTTTAAAATAATCTAACACATTATACAACTAATCTCCTAATATACTAATAAATGAGGATGTCCTAACAAGTTGTAGTCATTATTTATAGTGTAATTAATGCTAAAAGAGTAAAAGTAAGTCACTTAAAAGTTTTTAAATTAGCTTCTAAAAATCTTAATTTTTAAAACAATTCTAACAATATTGTCTGACGTACCTACAATTAAAGAGATTTTATATATATATTCCTAATGATAAATGAAGTAGGAAGTTTTATGGTATACACTTTTTTGTACAGGTTTTGTATCCTTATTATGTGTACATACAAACAATTTTCGCCTTCTGTAGAAGAATTGTTTGTGAATATAGGCAAAGTAGAGGTGATACAAATTAAAGGTTACAAAAAACGTGCAGATTTTCCT